GGTAGAAAATTTAAATTTCGCGCAGACATTATGGGGGAGGAATGGGGAGAGGGCGTCCGGGACTCTCACAGACCAAACGAAACGCGACAGCATAGCTGCCACTTGACGTCGGTTTCTAGTGAGAGAGTGGTTCTTCCCCGGGCGTGCCCGGCCCAATTCGGCTGCTACCCGAAGGTGCGCAGCATGGCACTACCACTAGTTGGGTTGACTGACTGCACTGGTGGAATAATCTCTGTCACAAGATTATCCCACCAGCGGGCGATGGGGTCGTCACGTCCCGACGCCGCTCTATTCTCAAATACAATACATAAACAAAAGAGTATATATATGCGTGTGTGTGCCAAATTCGTGGTAGTGTGTGTAATGTTTTCTATATGGATTAAATGTATTTTTATGCATAAGTGGAAAAAATGTTAGCATTCTGCACTCTTTTACCATATCCAATTTGTTCTTTTATATATCCAATTTGACTATAATTTCATACTCCTCCGACCGTGCAATTTTGATTTTTATTACTTTTCTGTCATTTTCAAAACATTAGTTTAATTTATAGCTTAACTTATGGAGATTAAATGAAATAAATAAAGAATCAAATTCATGTAATGTCTGTTCAATTTGAACAAGAACAATATTACTTTAAAAAACTTCAGCTGTTCCTTAATTTGTGAGTAGTTCAAAAGTTTGCAAAGAGTTTGCTGTTGTACTTATTTGCAGGCTTGTTCGTGGAAGTACCCCGGCCTTGGAGAATACTAGCGTGAAATGGAAGTATTCATCATCATCATCATTTCAGCCTGTTTGAGTCCACTGCTAAACATAGGCCTCCCCCATAGACTGCCACGAAGTACGATCCTGAGCCACCTGCATCCATCGACTTCCCGCACATTTGCACAGGTCGTCACTCTATACTGTCTAATTTATATCTGTATATAAACCCAACCAGACGAGAAAACAAATGAATATCCCCCCCATATAATTGTAAAAAAATAATTATATTTCTAGGTGAAACTCCTTTACGAAATAAACTTGTGCTCCATAATAATTTCTTGTATTTACGCGATTACACATTATAAATGAAACTAATTTTACTCAGCAGTTTAGCTTAGTGGCTAGAGCGTCAGGCCGCGAATGCCGAAGACGTGGGTTCGATTCCCACAGCAGCGACAATCTTTTCGCACTTTTTCTACATATTTTAATGTTCAATCTTAAGTGCAAAGATTAGCACTATAAACAATTTAAATTTCCGTAAAATTAGTTTCATTTATAAACTTGTGCTCCTTCAAATTACATTGTCATCAAAATATTCACACAACTTTCGCTACATATGAGCTTTGGGCGCCGCAATAAAAACTCTGTAAGGACTCGTTAATTTATTTAAGTGACTTTTAGTATCGGTCGCAATAAACAAGTTTATATTCGGGACAGATTGCCGAATTTTCTAAGAACGATGATGCTTATTAATAGTTTTTATCATGAAAATCTCAGTATTTTAATATCTAAACTTTATTGATATCTAATACAAACAACATTTACATTAACAAGCACTAGTGGCCTCGTACCTTCTGTTATCTTACGATCTAAAATCGCGTTCGATTCTACCAATTCTCATTGATGAGTTGACTTCCATTCTTAGAAATTTTAAGCGCAATATGTGCTCCATGTTTAGCAGCTGGCTAAATATTTATCACTTGAGGAACGACAACGATGACGTGTTCGCAACGACAAAATATAGGCCTTATATTAGATGGTCCGTTTTCGGAATTCCTTACTACAAACTACTGTTTATCAGACAAGCTATTTCGCGTGTTTTCTTTCAGCTACGAACAGAACACGGTGAAAGTTTACTTTGAATGGCCTCAGTCACGAAACCACTACATTCCCCTCAAATGTCTTTTGCTAATTTACGAAGTATAAACGACTGTTTGACATACCAATATAAATAAAGCAACACGAAGTCTCAAAAAAAAGTGAAAATAGGGGTAAAATAACGCTCGGACGTCATTCAACAAACATAAGGTAATGGTTCCCAATGTTATAAAAATTGTATTATAAGTTCTTTTAACTTACGGTCTTAATAACTCACAAATATAATAAGTTGGGTAAAAATTAAGTTAATAATAAAAAAAATTAAAACTAGGTGACGACTGAGCTATTGGCTTCGACGCAGGGAGTCGTGGATTCGATTTCCACACGGGACAAGTATTGTGATCCCCAGACATTTTTTCCACATCTGGTTATTTATTACTAAAGAGGGTTGAATGAATTAAAATACACAAATTATAATCACAGAAAAAACGTTGGTGCAGACCATTCATTAAGAAACCCATACATAATTGACATTAAAGTAAACTACATAGAGTTTTCTTAAATTTTTTAATATATTTTAAAATTATAACTACAAAATTCGCCTGCGCCTACATCTTCTAAGTAGCTTACCTCACTTGGTAAAATAATCAAGGTCAAATATTTTTCGAAAATTAATGTAACTCACATTTCAAGTTTCCACGAGCCGGTTTACACTACAGTTCTGAACTTTGACTATTCTGAACAGCAGCCTTTACACCGAACCAGTTGCAAAAACATAAAGAAATAGATTTCAGTTAATATTAAACGTGACTTTAGTGTCTTATATAGAATGCAGCAGATGCCAGCATCTCTCATGAGCATTGAAAGCATCTTTGCTTTCGAAAAAATATTTATATCACAATCAATAATATTGAAAATAAAGCAACCAAAGAAGATTCATAATTGAAATTCGATCCCAAGTCAGTTTGTTCCACACGGAATAATTCTTTTTTTTTTTTTTAAATTTATTTATTTCTAATTCCGTCTCTGTTATTTTATAATTTTCAGAGCCATTAATATTACGAAGTTATCGCGCTCGGTTATCAAGTTAGGGGCCCAAAGTTAAGTAGAGCAGACAAATATGTGGTTACATGGGTCCAGCCGGGCGGGATTGTAATTAAATTACTCTGTTCCTCTTTATGTTGTAAATATCGTGATACAGGTAAATTTTATAAAGATTTTAATATCATTACACACACATATATTTTATTATATACTATATTGTGTAATTATACACATCAACCTTCCTCTTGAATTTCACTATCAAGTAAAAAAACCGCATCGAGATCCATTGCGTAGTTCTAAGTTAGATCTTTAGATTAGTAAGATCCAAGCATACATAGGGACAGACAGACAGCGGGACGACTATGTTTTATACTGTGATATAAAAAAATCACTAAATTATAATTTATTCTATAGACTTATAATGTCATAATTGTCGATAGAAGTAAAATGCCATTAGTAAAGGGAAAATGCATATTCATGTGAATTGGTTAAGATTCTCGTGTTATTTTCCCTTTTAGAATCCTCGTTTTGAAAACAAGAATGCTAGACTGACATCAAAGTATCTTAAATTCAAGATGTAGTTAACGGTATTGGGAAATGTCATGTGTACATTGAATACCCACGTTATAAATAATCATAATTATGAAATGATCGATTATTTGCATTCAATATCACTCTACCCGAATAAAATCAATCTTTGCTTTTCATTAAAATGTCAACACTGAAACAGGGGATAAGCTTTCCTTGTTGCACGCTGAAAAACAAACACGCCAAGCCATATATCCCATTTCGAGGGTTTACTTTCAATCAAAAGTTGTATTGATTCAACGACTTTATACTGCATAGATTTAAAACAAAGATCGTGCTAACTTTGAACTGTAAAATGTTATTCAAAACTTGGTCTATAACAGATGTTTTTATACTTGATTTTTTTTGCATACATTGCAAATACTCTTACTGTTTGCAGTTGTCTAATATTTAAACATAAATTACACAATAGACATTTTTTTTTCTTTAAAAATATTATCTAAGTGCAGAATAAGATAATCTTATACATGTATGTTATTGTAGAGGCGAACAACACACAAAACGAACAAGACAAAATACCCAGATCCGGAAAAATTATACGTATACTAAACTAATCTATAATAATAATAATAATAATAAAATATCTTTATTCACATAGACGCTTGCGCGTTCTTATGAAACGTCAAAATTTTACAAGCAATTAACACGTTCGTAAGTTACCACCGGTTCGGAAAGCAGTTTCTGTTGAGAAGAAGCCGGCAAGAAACTCAACAGTTGCTCTTTTTTAAAAAATCAGTTTACAATATAATAGTACAGGTACAATAGTCTTGTTTTAGCCTACGTGAGTATCAACAGTATTAACCCCACACATTGGCGTCGTCAAGATATTCGGCAATAGTATAATAGGCTTTAGCCATAAGTGTACTTTTAATTTTTCGTTTAAATTCATCAAGTGGCAGACTTAACATCGACTGTGGGATTTTATTATACATGCGCACACTTTGCCCCATGAACGATCTGTTTACTTTTTGTAGGCGAAATAATGGCGTAGTTAGTTTGTCCTTATTTCTAATATTTAGTTTATGTCTGTCACTATTCTTTTGATAATTATTAATATTCTGTTTAACATACAAAATATTACAATAAATATATTGAGACGCAGCAGTGAGTATATTAATCTCTTTAAAAAGATCTCTGAGTGTATTCCGGGCTCAGATGTTATAAATTGCTCGGACAGCTCTTTTTTGAATAATAAATATTGAATTTATATCAGATGCACTACCCCACAACAAAATGCCGTACGACAAGATGCTGTGAAAATAACTGTAGTAAACAAGTCTGGCAGTGTCGATGTCTGATAGCTGCCTAACCTTCCTAATTGCAAAAACAGCGGAGCTTAACCTATTCGCAAGAGATGATAGATGGGGATCCTTGTCATAAGACGGAATCCAATCCAGTGTCCACCAAGTTCTATCAACTAAATGTGCCTACCAAGTCATCAATTAATCAAAAGAGATTTTAAAATAATAAACGAAAGCGTATATTGTTACTTTAGTTTTTAATTAAAAACATTATTTACAGTCCATTTAGAATTTTCTATGTTTGTAACGTTCTAATATAGTTTAGTAGAATCGTCCGAAGGCATAAGGAGTAGCGTATCCGTAGGCACCGAGTCTACCGAGGTTGTAGGCGTAGGGGTAGTTGTAGCCGGCGTAGGCGAGGGGAGCGGCGAGGGGAGCGGCGGCGATCAAGGCGGGGTCCTTCCTGACGACGGCGTTGAAGCCCTGGGCGCCGGCGGCGTAGTCGACGGTCCTGCGGGTTCCGTCGGACTCGAGGAGCGAGTACTGGCCCAGCACATTGCCACCGGCGCGGCGCTCGATCTGGTTCTTGAAGTCACCGGTGTAGGGGTCGGCCACGCCGTAGGAGAAGGCGGAGTAATCGGAAGCACTGACGGCTGCCACAAGGGCGAAAAGGACGAAAAACTGAAAGAGGACAGCAAATAATTTATGGAATTCAGTGGCATAAGTTAGCACTTTACATAACCCATAGCAGTTTGATTATTATTAAGTAATAATCGTATGTATGTTTTCAAACGCGAAAAAAATTCTTAAAATCCAGTAGGGTCAAAAAACTATCGACTACGGTGAGAAATCTCAATCTTTTTTAAATTAAAAATCGCTTTTTGAATTAAAAGAACATCATTGTTTTTACTTAATGAAAAGGGAAACAATATATCATATTCTCTTCATTCAACTATCACTGACATTTGTTAAAGTTGGTTTTAAAAAAAATTTAATTACCTTGGCGATCATTTTGCTTGCAATGATTGTAGAAGTGACTCCTTTGGCGATTCAAGACTATCTGATGCTAATTGTGGCTATCCAACAGATATTTATACCTTGTTACAAAGCAGTACTTTTATATAAAGGAAATCAATAAATGTCAAGTTCGAAAGCGATGAAAAAACAAAACTTATTAAGTAAGTGAAGACCGCTTGACTCAAGGTGTGTTAATAATCGCAATGTAACTGTAATTGATAAAAAAAAACTTGTTCATATGATTTGAGATCATGTTTTAAGATATTAAGTCTTTATGATATAATTCGCTCATATTGACAACATGTGGAGCGCATTGTCTGTAAACATTGTCAATATAAATTTTATTCCTTATATCCTTTTATCAGAAGAATGGCGAAATGACAACCTAAATTAGACATTAAAATTTTTGTATAAAACGGAAACGAAAAGTTTCTCGCCGCTGTAGAAATCGAACCCACGTCTTCGGAATTCGCGACCTGACGCTCTAGCCACTAAGCTAACTACTAAAACGGCTGATTGCCATACCGACGAAATTATAGACGCCTATTATCTACATTGTATTTTAGCATTTGCGTCGTCAACTATTAAAACCACTAAAGAACAAAGACGACATAAAACCCCCTATTCAACACTAGATGGCGTTAGAGGAACTGCTGTGGAACTATAGTCTCGAAAACCGGGTACATTCGTGAACTTTCCGGAAACATGTTCGTGCGTGTCGGGTACGTTCCAGGAATGATCTTTCTGGATTAGTCCGGAACCGGTCTCGGCCCATATAAAAAGCCGCAGGGAGGCGAGCGATGACAGTTCAGTTTGAGCTACCTTCGAGGCGACTTCGGAGTGAAAACTAGTGATCAACAGCGATACCAGTGAAACCTACGACTTGGCTACAATCTAGGACATCGTTAGTGCTTACTGATTGGACCTAGTGCTTTGTGTTGGACCTAGCGCTAGTAAATAAAATCTTCAAAAGAGTCAGCAGGTCTTTCTCTCCAAATCCTTCGAACCCCGAACACGTAACAATATTAAGTTATTATTCAGAGTGCAAATTTGCCAGATGTTTCGGTCCGAATTAACTAAACTACTTACTTCCGTTGACCACAGATGTTAGGCACAAGGAGGATAGGGTAAACTTTTGATAAAGTGGATAGTTTTATGTTTATTATTAAATTATTTAGAACTCATCGATAAACCGGTCCATAAAATAATTTGGCACAGAAACAGTTTGAGACGAACGAATACCTTTCCAATAACGCATCATAACGTAATAAACATAATCGTCCAAAACCTTTTGGTAACATTTTGTTAATTTACCATTTCTTAAAATGGTTAAATTAAAACAATTAAACTGGTCTTAATTTATTTTTTAAATTGAGAAGGTCCAATATTTGTAAGAAAAATTACATACTTATATAAATGAAAGTTTATTTAAGTTGCAAATATTCTTATTTGTTGATCAAAATGTATCAATTTGTCTTAATGCTTCCTTGCCGTCATCCTCATATAAACTTATATGATTATATACATACATACTCTTACGACAAAATAGTATGACTGTAAATTGTGCATCAAATTGAAATTGAACAAAACCTTTCTGAGTAAGCTAGTGTTGCAGTAAGTGTAATGCTTCTATATTGAATATTTTGATATTAATTAACAATTAAACTCACACAGTATTAAACATTTAAACAGACTAGTCATTGATACAAAAAGTTTTTTGGAAGGACTCGCCGTGATTTTATAAGGGGTAATCTGAGGAGTGGTGAGCCTTCACCGCCCTTGTTGTATAGTCATGATGTCATGACTATTCAACAAAGTGTATAGTAATGTGATTAAATTCGAAAACTTACTAAGATTTCTTGGTCTTACTAGCAATGTCTAAAGTAAATATATAAATTTATGGTTACTAACCCCTATTTGATCATCGATCAGTAAAATAAATATAATGTTGAGGAGTGTGAGCACTGGAGTAGAGCAATGATTACATAAGTTTCACGTAAAAATGATAATAAAAGTGAGATGAATACACACTGCACTTGTCGCATTTATGATTTATTAAATTCTGCTAAGGGTGGACAAAACGCATCTGTCCCGTCGGTTATAAAAGATCAAGATATAAAAATGGACAAATGTAGTATTATTCATATTATATTATTCCCTTCTGGTAAAATCATAACTAAATACCTATCCTCTGTTTTTTCCTTACTGTTACGTATTATTAAAACATGTAGAAAAAGTACGAAAAGATTGTCGCCGCTGTGGGAATCGAACCCACGTCTTCGGCATTCGCGGCCTGACGCTCTAGCCACTGAGCTAAACGGCTGATAACCACAGCGATGAAAATCTTAACGCCTTCTTTCTACGTTGTTATTTAGCATTTGAAGCAATGCTTGGCGCATCTATTGTTATGTTCTTTCCAGCATACAAACAATTTCGAATATCGTTTTACAACGATATTCGAAATTGTTTGTTAGCATACAAGAGCAGGCCGCGATTTCGATTCCCATCTTTTCGTACTTTTTCTACATGTTTTAATGTTTAATATTAAGTGCAGAGATTAGCACTATAAAACTTAAGATTTATGAAAAACAATGTTTTACAACGATATTCGAAATTGTTTGTTAGCTCAGCCGTTTAGCTCAGTGGCTAGAGCGTCAGGCCGCGAATGCCGAAGACGTGGGTTCGATTCCCACAGCGGCGACAATCTTTTCGTACTTTTTCTACATGTTTTAATGTTTAATCTTAAGTGCAGAGATTAGCACTATAAAACACTTTAAAATTTATGAAAAGCAATGGCGACATCTCTCGTTCGAATTAGCGTTGTAAAACGATATTCGAAATTGTTTGTATGCTGGAAAGGATATAACAATAGATGCGCCAAGCATTGCTTCAAATGCTAAATAACAATGTAGAAAGAAGGCGTTAAGATTTTCATCGCTGTGGTTATCAGCCGTTTAGCTCAGTGGCTAGAGCGTCAGGCCGCGAATGCCGAAGACGTGGGTTCGATTCCCACAGCGGCGACAATATTTCGTACTTTTTCTACATGTTTTAATGTTTAATCTTAAGTGCAGAGATTAGCACTATAAAACACTTTAAAATTTACTGTTACGTAAATAATAAATTTAAAATTAATCAAGTTCTATACCAAATATCATTAGTTGTAAAAAATGAGCAATTGTAACAAAATTTACAGGCGCTTTAAATTTAATATAATAAAAATTATTAAAAACATTATTTTTCTTGTTTCGTATTGAAGTTTTCTCTATTATTTAAATTCTTGGTCTTCTGTGGTCGTGATACTTCCCCGAACGTACCTGCCCATTCAGGCAACAGCGAAGATTGTTGCTTGGCCCGACCACAGTGAATAAATTTATGAGTTAACATTATAATATATCATACGAACGTACAGCAAGCGATTTAATTAAGTATTTTTAATAAAATAATTCGAAACTAACATCAAACAAATAAAAGAAATATTTCTTTACAAATTATCATTAAAAATATTGAATATATTTACTCTCCCTTTCTGTACATGACTGCGTAAGAAAGACACTCCGAAACGGGCACCATTGATGAAGTTGTACCTAATCCAAGTTAAGAATATCGAAGGGCCTTATAAAGATCCTCTCATACAAACATTCAAAGTGCCAGAAGTTATGAAGAAGAAACAAGTTTAAAAAAAGCGGCTGTCAAAAACTTTAACCGCGTATTAAAATACGTAATAATACCTACTTAGGTTTCTTTTACTATGCAGTAAAAAACTTTAAGAACTTTTTTTGACGGAGTTGAAAAAATAGTTATAAATACAGACAGTAAATGTATTTCTTTTATCATAGTGTGTTTTGCTTTAATATTAATATAAATAAAAAAAATATATTCAAGTGATAAATGTAAACTAATTAGACTAAAAAAATGTATTATCCTATCCAATCTATAGATACTTCATTAAAATTTGTAGAAAATTTAATTTTGTAGAAAAAGTACGAAAAGATTGTCGCCGCTGTGGGAATCGAACCCACGTCTTCCGCATTCGGCTCTAGCCACTTAGCTAAACGGCTGATAGCCGATATTCTCAACATATATAGCAAATTCGATAATCTAACATAGCTACCTCATTACAAAAACTTTAAATTAAGTTCGTAATTATAATAGTAATTGTGTACCGTTAACATTTACCTCGTTGACTTTCAATACTCCGTGGCGATACTACTTAATGACTTCGTGGCGCAGTGGCCAAGGTACTGGCTTCGGCGACGGGGGTCGTGGGTTCGATTCCCACACGAGACAGCTATTTGTGCGACCCACAGATAGTTGTTTCGTATGTGGTGTATGTCCGCGTGAAATTTATAATTGTAAAACGTCCTTACAGGATAATGGATACAGGATAAAACAACACAGGATAATGTTATCCTAAAGTAAGAGCAATGTTAAAAAAATCAAAAACGAATGTTACGTGCATTTACTGCACAAGGGAAAATTTATATCGTACAAAGAACGAAAAGGCTAGTTCTACCGGGTATTTCTAAGTTAGTAATGTTCATACTTCTGCTTTAGTTTTGTATTGCGCGCGTAGGCCGTACCCTTAAGGTTAAAACTTTCTTAGTGGTTGCTTATAATAAATAATAGAACACAAATAGACAGTATGCCGTTCGGTGTACACGTAGCTGTTTAAACAGGTTATGAGATGTGCGCACTGAAAATGCTCTTTGCTAGGTGCGGTGAGTATTTCAAAATTAGAATTGTGCCTTTGTACTGCTCAGTTGGAACGGAATTTGTAACGAAACGCACATATTAGCCAGTTTTGTGAGGGTTTCAACAATCCAAATAGGTATTTTCCACATCTGTATTCCTTTGGAATATGTTTTGTCGGTATAACGATACTTACCAATTTAAAAAAATTGTATGCATAACTTATCACGTGCTCTGCGGTGTAGGAAAAGATCGTGAGGAAACTGAATATTTTTAAATATTTCTAAGATATATGAAGTCAATCCGCAGTGGGGCAGCGTGGTGGACTATGCCCTGAAACCCTATGTATAGAAGAGTCCTTTGCCCAACAGTGGGACATTTATAGGCTATTACTTTACTTTACTTATGCATAGGCGTATATAGCGCGGGGGGCCGGGTGGGCCGTGCCCAATCCAGTGCCCAGAATTTTGAGTTACTGATTCGAAATTCTAGGCTTGACAACTATGAAACTTCACAAGAAATCATTGAAATCATATAATTATCTACACCTGAGAATTATATATATATATATATATAACATACATAGTTTATATTACATACTAGTATACAATACATAACGTTTATTTACTTTTGAATACACGACGAGCTAGAACACAACTCGAAGCGACTTGCAGCTTTATAATAAAATGAAAAAAATTACGGACGATCTATACTCCACAGTGAATTACTTTTGTGTGCAAGAAATTAAGGTCTAAAACTGTGGTGGTCATTATGGAATTAGAGACATGTAACTCCCTAGCCTTTCTAAATGTATTAGTGATCCGAAACCCATACAAATAAATATGGAAACAAAACTGGAAAGGGTCCAAAACGTCTGAAATTCCAAATCCAAAAAAAAACGCTATAAAATCCGTAACTTTTTCATTTAATAAATTCATGTTTCATCAGCTGTTACTATGTCCCATATCACATTTAAAGCCCCTTCGTTGAATCTGGTAAACATAGAATTGCACCAAGAGACGCGGCCCGTTTTTTGAGCCGTGGTCAAATTGTGCGGGATCCACCGCAACCATAGCTTTCTCACACCCAAATGTATGTGTAGGATTGATTGAATTAACTCATGTCTATGACTACGGATGCCCGAATCTCATGGTAGGTCACATGTCTGTCTGTTTGGATCATACGGCGCACAGCGTCGAAGTTTTTGTTGTTCACAGCGAAGGACGGGCGACCATCACGAGATTCGTCACTACGATTGACACGATTGCGCTTGAATTCTGCAAACCAGCTATAAACAGTCGTCTGGCATGGTGATACATCGCCAGATTAAAGCCGAGTGAGGCTCTGCTGAACTTTCTAATTACACTTAATATTTCCCAAGAAAATTTTCCCAAGTTAAATCTATGTTAATGTACACACAACATTTTTAAAATAGTGCCATCATTTAAAAACAATTGACTGTCACATGAAACAAACTGTATTCTTCAGACAAAGAGTTCCATTTTCAAATGTTATAATTACTTTTTAAATATTGTTTATGTAAGTAACCAGTTCCGGAAACTTTTAGTGTGAACTATGTACTCGTATAATTACCATGAAATGCACATTCGAAAATGTACCTCTGGCCCAATCCATAGATCCATTTTTAAACATAGATGTCGAAAATGGGAAGGCTTTTATGGATAATTACGAAGACATTATTCGAATTGTTAGCATCCTTCTAGAAACAGAAAGCTTAATTATAAAAAAACGGAATAAAAGAAAATAATATTAAATTTGAAGTTCCTAAGGAACACGCTGAAAAATATTTATCCCCAAATCTAAACTAGCGACCCACCCCGGCTTCGCACGGGTGCAATGTAGATATTGAATTTCTCGAATTTTCGCTACTATAATATGCATATATACTACATGTAAATCTTCCACTTGAATCAGTATATATTGCTGAAAATCGCATTCAAATTGGGTAGTTTAAAAGTTCTAAGCGAACAAACATCTCGAGTGATTTTGATTTAATACTATGCAAAGATAAGTAGGAGTAAGAACTGTTATTATTTTAATACGAGTAGGATCGTAGTATTTTTTTTGTGTAGTAAGGGCCCAGGCCCACCCTGAAAAATAGCCCTAGATACGCCAATGTACTTATGTAACTTCTGCTTACATCAGTCACTTATGAAACTAATGTAACTTACTAAATACTTATTCCCAGCGGCGCACTAAATGAGTATTTCAATTATGGAAGTTTAACACTTTTCGCGGTCGACGAGGCATTTGCAGTTGTTGCACTGAAATATACACAAGTTTTGTGTATATTTCCACTAATGATAATAGTTCTTATAAGAGTCTTCTTATAATTGACTGTATAATCTAAAAATGTACTATGGCACTTTCTGCAAAAATTTGCATTAATTACACTCTCCGCCCCACTTGTAAACTTTTCACTGCTGCGAGAATCGAACCCATGAACGTCTTCATGATTTGCACCCAGACGATTTAACTACTAACGATTTGGCTACTAGCTACTATATACGTCAAAATTCTATCTCCAGTAACCAAATATTGAAACCGGCTAAGCTAAACGGCTGACTAACACACCGACGAAAATCTCAACTTTTATCAACATTGTTTTTTCTCATTTCAATCAATGTCTGGCGCATGTATTGGTATATCCTTTACGGTATACAAAAAATTATGAATAACTTTTTAGAACATAATAATTTCTTGTATTTACGCGATTACACATTATAAATGAAACTAATTTTACGGATTTTTTCCAGGGGAACTTAAAATTAAAAATAAACGCGATAAATCCGTAAAATTAGTTTCATTTATAACTTTTTAGAACGATAATTCGACCGAGAGTACTTATATCATAAATCAGTTGTTGTTAGGTTTACTTAAAGCAATATTATATTTTGAAAACATTGTAGTAAAAAGTCGTATATTTAACAAGCGTATGTACATTTTTACAATTCATTACGTCATGTCATTCAGAAGAATCGTCTGTAGCCAAAGGGAGCGGCAAATCCGTAACCGCCGAATCTGCCTAGGTTGTAGGCGTTGAGGTAGTTGTAGCCGTAAGCTGGAGCGGCATAGGCGATGCGGGCAGCCGGGATCAAGGCAGGGTCCTTCCTGACGACGGCGTTGAAGCCCTGGGCGCCGGCGGCGTAGTCGACGGTCCTGCGTGTTCCGTCGGACTCGAGGAGCGAGTACTGGCCCAGCACATTGCCACCGGCGCGGCGCTCGATCTGGTTCTTGAAGTCACCGGTGTAGGGGTCGGCCACTCCGTAAGAGAAGGCGGAGTAATCGGAAGCACTGGCAGCTGCCACGAGGGCGAAAAGAACAAAAATCTGGAAAGAAAAACAAACAGGCTAATAGTTAATACTGTTTGGTCGGTCGAAATTATAGAACAGATGCATTTTTTTCTATAAATAACAACTCATAAAGATTAATACGTTTTTTACCTTTGCGATCATTTTGCTGCAACGAAATTAGGTGTAGTAAACCTGTGTAGTTCTTCTGATAAACTGATGCACTTTGAGGTTTTTCAACGGATATTTATAGCGCCGAAATAATATCCGGTTACGTTTCATCACGCGAGTAGAAAACAAGTAAATGTCAAGTTAAATTTTACACTTTTATAGTAAAGGAGAAAACATGCTATGCGTTGAAAATTGTTTACAAATATATCGAACTAGCTGCTGCCCGCGACTATGTCTGCGTAGAATAGACTGAAGGCGTAAAAATCACACAGAAAGACAGAAATACATAAAATATGTGTATAAATTATAGCCTAATAATATATGATTTATGATTTATATATATATATATATATATATTGTATATCAAAGGATAATACGTGAAGTTTTGTTGAAGAATTATTTCAACAAATCGACATTTTAACCAGTTTCAAAAATCCCTGTTACTAGTTCCTTTTATGATTACGCCTTATTAACTTCTTAATTTATTTCTCGGGCTTTATTTCTTATTTCAATTTATTTTAAGCTTACTTTGAATTAATTATAAATAAACATAATTAAACACTCACTTTCCCCTACTGGGAATGTCTTTGTATTAGTTACCCACTACCAACGGATTACAATATCATAGCTAAGCAACTGTGCAACGATTTGCAAAATAAAATTAAATTCGTGCGGTGCAAAATCAAACGAAAAAATAAAAATATTTTTCTGCAATCGAACACTTTCGAAGCCAACATTTTTAACAAAACACATAGGTTTTCTTTTGGGTGTCGTTTTAGCTTTCAGCCTTGCCCTTTTAGTTCGCAACGGCTTGATAAGAACGTAAAAAAATAGAAAGACACAGTGACAAGTGTGTTTTGTTAGGAAAACTTTGGCCTAAGGGCCGGCGATGATGACTTAACCATTTGCTGAGAGCGATGATAAACCAAACTGAAACTTGATTAAATCTTGTGTGCGCGCTGTTGAGTTTGTTTTATTCGAGGATGACCTACAGATTGTTTTATGCTATCTTTGCGAGTGGTATATAATGTAGTACTATTTTCAGACGGGACCCTATAGTATAAGGCATTTTTTCGTCCCTTATGATCGGGTAACGCGGAACATTCTGCAGTCGAACTTAAAAAATGGGATAAATTTAATAGACTATAACGACCCTCTTCTCTCAACCAGTGATTTTTAAACTAAATGTGCTATGCTAGTATTTGAAACGAAAAACGATCCTGTCCTTTATTTTATGAGATACCAATAAAATATTAATTTAACAAGGGCGCGATAAACAAGTTATTCGAACGCCACATTTGAAGAAAGTTTAATCTTATATTGCTTTTCTCATTTTTGCGTATATTATTACTACGCATTGTATATTTAAGCAATGTTATGATGATACCTTAACCTCTTTTGTTTTTTAAAAAAAATCTATCTTTTAAATTGAATATGTCAACCTTTTTGTTTTAACCTGTAGATGTAACCTCTCACTTAAGACGTTAATGTATTTTTTCATGGCAAAATGTAGTACAAGATTAGATAGGTTTAAAGCTAAGAATATACGGAAAATAACAGAATGGGCATTATGTTTAATTTATGTTTCTGCGAGTAACTCTTTGGGTCCTATGAAATATTCATAACTGAGTGTACATGGCCCTTATAGGCTTTCACATATGCCTTTACCTTGGCATATTTGGAATATAAATAATTTGTGTTATTATAATACCTTTGATCTTATTAAAATAAATAAGAATGAAACACGAACACTCGCTTACTGTATGTATTGATTTTATTTTGTACTTAAAATTTTGAAAATTGTGTAAAATCAACCTTCGAAATCAAAATGTATCACTACATAGTATAAAACTTAGATCTATAAAACTCGTTGCATAGTTTTAAAGATCTAAGCGCGATCTTGACGCATTTTTTATTAGAGAGAGTGATACAAGAAGAAGGTTTATAATAAATAATAATAATAATACTGTAAACGTATTATACAAGTGTAATGACACCCGTTAATACCGACAATTAAGAATACTTTGTACGTTATTAAACGGCCAAAAACTTACCCGACTAAAAAGTGTAGTTAAGTTTTTTTTTTTCTGAAGCTTGATCGGTTACGTTAGCGATAAAAAGATAGTTTTGGTGAATTTTACAAACCTTTTGATTTATATTCATCATACATCGATATCGCAGTCTTCATGCTCTATTTGTCTTATCGCATACACTCATTTAATGAACGATAATAAGTTTTTGGCGGTGCAACAGTGATTTACTCTTTAAATCAATACCCACCATATGCCGAATTTGAAGATTACCTGCGAATTTTATCATACTCAATCCAGCCATTTTGAAGTTCATAGGGCGAATGGATACTATATACAGATATAATAGCCTGACTCAATCAAATCGAGAAACCAGACATCTCACCGTTTTGTTTTTCACAATATTTAGAGTGGAATGGAAGCTAAATACTAACCTTTTTTTTGAGTGAAATAAAAGGAAAAAATCATGACTTAAACAAAAACGAATCAACGAAGGTCTTGTAAAGTAGTTAACCTAAGTTGTGGTGTGTCAATAATTTGCGGAAAAAATGCATGAAGTGAAAAAATACACTTATATGACTATAAGACATACAGCTAAAGGCTAGTTACAGTACTAGCGTTTGCAGCCCCAATCCTGCTTTCGATTTAATCATATCTGTATTCGAGTTTGATATTAAATTTTTGCATGTCGGAGACAATGACTTTATCCACAATCTTACGTCGAGACGTAAATATTTATTTATTTAATGCACAATGACTTGCAACATCTTGAAGATCTTACTTCACATAAAAATGTATTGTAGGATCAGACTGGCGTTTTTTTATCCTACTAAATCCACCACATTGCGTGTAAATAAAATTTTTCCAAACACCTATGGATTAACTTTAGAGGCTCCCTCTGATGGAGCCATTATGCTAAGACTTTGATCTAGTTAAGGATTGAAGCCCAATGTCTTGCTTCAATAAATATTAACTACTTCATATCTAACGTGCAAATTTGGTGGCCGTTACACGGCGACTATGTCTATAAACTATGACTATATTACAGTTAAAATGTATTAGTTTTTTTTTTTTTTTTTTTTAATTTTAACCATTTATTTTCCACTACGCGTACATTTGTTATAATGTAGTCAGCAGGAAAATTATATCGATCCCCTTCTGAACGTAGAACCAACTCATTAAAGTTATTGTCTTGACGAATTGTCGCGAAGCCCCTCGGCCTTTTCATTTGTGGCTGCATCGTTGGAAATTTTGAGACCCTTAACGTTTTCGGTTAAATTAATTTCGCTCTGATATTAAATTATTGAGTAAATAAATTTACCTAATTAATAAAAGTATCAGATTGCCATTAAATCTTATATTAAAAAAACCGGTCAAGTTCGAGCAGAACTCGCGCACAAAGGGTTCCGTTCCATTATCTATAAAAACGACAAACAAATCATGTCTTTTCTATGGGAGCTCCACTTAAATATTTTTTATTCTTTTTTTTAGTACTTGTTGTTATAGCAACTACAGAAATACATCACCTGTGAAAATTTCACTATCTAACTATCACGATTCATGAGATACAGCCTGATGACACACGGACAGATAAACAGACAGTCAGCGGAGTCTTAGTAATATGGTCTCATTTTACCCTTTGGGTACGGAAACCTAAAAGGTAGTGAGATGTTACAGTAAAATACATAAAAACTAAACTTGTCACGCAAATGTATAGTCTCTAGTAGTAATCTCAGTAGATTAAGGATTCTAAATTACAAAATTACAAATTCCTAACGAAGTTAGGGCAGAATCAACCACGAAACCCATTTCGGAATGGTAAACTTCGAGAGTCCATATTCTATAGTACTCATAACATATGAAACATTCCTCACAGCTGTCCCCTTTGTTGGCGTGGAAGTTATGGACCATAGATAAAATTGCAACTAATTGTTTTGCTATCAATATTGTTTACCCTAGGTTCCGACTTCAGTGTGCCCCTCGTAATGCAATAAACTCCTACCTCCTCTTCACAATCAGGGAAAGTTTCACACGTTTTTTCACTTCCGTTATTTCTTCTACTTTTACAACTGTCATAACTCATATCTAATCTTAATTTCAAGATGGGTTGGACACGACTGGTTTCCTCCACGAAGAATTAAACAGTTGCAAATAATTGAATTTAGTGTTATTTCTCACTTTGTGCCTATATTGGTTTGCAATTAGTTGAGCCCTGACACTCAACTATGGTGGTTATTTTAATTCAGAATTATAAAAAGAATTTAAATACCTTTCATATTTATGAAAGAGCTTAAAGCAACCAAAAGGACATCTCAAATTATAATACCCTTAGACAGGTCATTGTATCCTTACAAGAGCGTAATTAAGATACAAAAAGAATAACACATTACAAAGGTGAAATTTGTGTGATCGGTTCTGTACAAATTATTCTTTTATGCGTCTGAAAAAATTTTAATGATTTTTGAAAGTTGCCTTTTTTTGAATTGTGTCATATATTGCTATTATTATATTTTCAGAAATTTTTATATTTTCTTAAGATCAAGTCGAAGCTTTTTGATAAATTCGTGATCCTATCTACAATTTTGATTGGATACCAAATAAATAATGCTCTCTGAGCCGCCATCGCGACGTTAAGGATGTTTTTTTTTTTAATTTTCATTTTTAATTTTAAATTTTTATTTATTTTTTTTTTTTATTTTTTAAGAAAGCGTTAGTTTTTTCGTGTTATCTTAGTTAAAAAAACTAGTCCACGCGGTTATAGTACCTTTAAAAACGTTTTATTTCAGGCTTAAGAACTGCATTTTGATCGATTTGACTCGCCGAATAGTTTTCTAGTAAAAGGTCTGCAGACTGACACTTTAAGTAGCGAAAGAAGAACCAACGTAAATTTCGGTCCGTGGGGACATCTAGGTATAACCAAGATTCAACCAAGGTTTCAACAGAAAATGTCACTTACACAGAATC